CACGCTGAGTACATTCAAAATTTGTGACACTTCAAAATAGGCAACCTATAAAGGTTCGAAAAAAATAATTGAAAATTATTTCACGTATTATTGTTGTATAAATTAGTACATTATCGCAGCACCTGACCTTTTGAGTTAAATAAAAATACTCGTACTTCACAAAATACGTAGAGCCCCATTAAGGAAAATTTAAAGCTTGTCAATTTTTTACAATATTTGAACTAAATTTGGCCTAAGTATATGAATTTAGAATTTTTGTACTTGGGACTGGGGAAATAGTACAGCATAATTTTTGAGTGTTTTTTTTTTTAAATTATTCTAAGCCAGCGTTTAACTGTAATCCCACCTGATGGTAAGTGGTGATGAAGCCTAAGATGGTGAAGCGCACTGATTTAACAAAAGCTTATTTACTAATGCCTTGAAGACACCCACGCTGTAATCGTATGGAAAGACAGATGCTGGCAACTTATTCATTTCTTTGCTGTACGCATGATGAATAACGTAGTAAACCGTTTTTTTTATAGGATAGGGTGACAAACGAGCACACAATCCACCTGATGGTAAGTGGTTACTGTGGCCTATAGACATCTACATCTATCTTCGATTACGAATCAAAATGCAGATGCGTTGTCACCCGTAAAACCGTTTGATTCGAATGCGTGGTAAGTTAACAACGAAACGGTGGAGACTGGCCAAACGCCCGGTTCGCCGATGGTGGAAGGGAGAGGGAGTTAAATTACGCAATACTCCGAAATGCATCCTTTAGAAAAACATAACCTAATTCGGGTCATTAATAAGCTTTCTTTTGAATCCAAATCTGATAGGTGGCAATACTCCATGCACGACCGGACTTGCGCTTTATATAAAGTAAGCAGCTCTCCTGACGTGAAGTATCGCCGCACCTTTGCAAGAACTCCTAGCTTCCTTGCAGCTGTGGCCTTGGACTCAATGACCTATCCAAAGTTGAGATTTGAGGATATTTTAACCCCCAACAGCTGCGGGCGGTCGGTGTATTCTAGTGATATATTTCGAAATGGAAGAGCCATGGTGCTAGCTCCTTTTTGCACTAAAGAGGTACTCTTGCGTTTTGAAGGCGTTGCATTTTACAAGATCGGCATTGATCCATTCGAGTACTCGATTCGAGACTCTGTAGTGCGAGATTTACAAGTTTTACCATAGCTTGTCTTTCGGACTGGATTTGAATCTGAATGGCCCGAGGACTTGGCTGGTATCTTTCCACAACTGTGCTATCGTGAGCATACCCGTTAATACCGGACATAAGCAAATTATTAATATGCAGAAGGAAGAGAGTTGCGGAGAGAACGGACCACTGAGGAACACCGGCGTTAGGCACCACAGGATCGGACGAACAGCCATCAATGATGACCCGAAGAGACCGTTCACTCAGAAAGTCCTTCAACGAGTCAATCAGGTCAGTGGATAAGCCGTACGCTGGAAGCTTATCCCAAAGTCTAGGGTGCCAAACTCTGTCAAAGGCCTTCAAGACATCAAGGAAAACAGCAAGTATATCACACTGTTCTCGAGCGCCTCGTCCCATACGTGTGTGCCATATGCTAGATGATCCCCAGCTGAACGATTTCGCTGAAACATGTATTGCCGGTCACTAAGGAGGTCATTCTGTTCTAGGTATGCCATTAAGCTGGCGTTCAATATACGCTCCATAATCTTGCAGAATATGGAGGTAATTGAGATTGGCCGATAATTGTGTGGGTCGACACAAAGGTTTTTTTTGGAACAGGCTGCACGTTGCCCAGCTTCCAGTATTAAGGTACTACTCCTGTGCTATTAATTAGAACCCTTTCGTCGTGCCTCCTCAGTTTCAAGGCACTCCCTTTGTTGCCTCAGCCAGTATCAGAACCCTCGGCATCGACATATAGAGTGACGTGCAGTTTCGTGGTCACTTCCAAGAGAAGGCCAAATTAACCTCTAAAAGGCTTGGCATGCTCGGAAGAGCGGTACACTATTTCATGCCAGCTCACCGTCTGCAATTTTACAAGGCGCAGGTTCGGCCGCACATGGAACACTGTTTCCATCTCTAGGCTGGGGCTCCTCAGTGCCAGCTCCTTCCACTTTATCACATCCAGCGCAGATCTGTTTGAATCGTTGGTCTTCAAGCTCTTTCCGATCGGCTTGTCTCCCTGGCACTGCGAGGAGATGTTACATCTCTTTGCGTATTTTATCGCATCCACCACGGAGAGTGCTCTGAGTAATTGTTCGGACTAATTCCAGCCGCATAATTTCAGCATCGCACATCGCGACAAAACTTGCGGTACCATCCATACCATCCGGATGACTGGCGGTCCACCACTGTGCGATTTAAAAGAAGTTTTCTTCCTCGCACAACTTCCTTGAGGAATCGACTACCACCGAGAATTTTCCGGAATAATACGACTTAGGTACCTTCAAGAACAGCGCCTATTACTTTTTAAAAGGCCGGAAACGCATCTTTAATTCCCCTGGTGTTGCAGTTGTTCATGGGCGGTGGTAATCACTTACCGCATGCTTGTTTGCGTCACTATAGAAAAAAATCTATTCAAATTAAGGTGACTGGGGAATCGTAAACTTACCATAAATTTTTATTTATCGCAAATTATGTCGTAAATGGCATCAAATATTGAGTTACTTTTAAGTGTACATTTCATGTTCATGTATACAAAATAAGGTATGAAAAAGTTAGGTTGCATACGTAACAACTTAATATTGTTTATTTATCAATTCATTGTAATCCCGTTTCAATCGGTATAAATTTATATTTTATAACCGATTAAAAATTATTATTTCATTACTTGTGTAGTAGCGGGTGAGAATATCCATATTTTCCTGTGGATGTCGAAAGAGGCGACAAAGGAAAACTGAGACAGAAGATGGGCAGCAGCATCTTTCTGTTAATAGCAAAAACCAATAAAAACTGCGGTTTCAACCCGCTCGCCAAGCGTGGTAACTATGGCAATATACCCCCATGAGCAACGACACAAATAAATGGTCCCCAGTCCTCAGCGGCCACGCTATTCCTGGCTACGGTGGCGACCATGGTAAAGGCGGGCAAGGGGTGCTAAGAATCGCCGGTGGAGCTTCGGCTGCCACCTAAAACGACTCGACCTGACATCATATAACGCATGCACCCTAAGGATTGACGAGAAGATCCTGGAGCTGGAAGAAGAGATAGAAAAACTGCGGTGGGATATTATAGGATTATCTGAGATTCGTAGAGAGGGGAGGACACGGTAATCCTCGAATCTGGTAACTTGTTCTATCACTGGGAGGGCGACCATCTGTCCCAAGGAGGTGTCGGATTTATTATCCACGAGTCTCTCGTTAACAACGTAGTAAAAATTTGCAGTGTTTCAACGAGGGTTGAGTACCTTATACTTATAATCACCAAACGGTATTCGCTGAGTGTCATACAGGTTTACGCACCAACCTCGGCACATTCCGATGAGGAGATGGAGGAAATGTATGAGGATATCTTTAAAGCCATACATTCCTCCAAAACCCACTACACGATGTTAATGGGACTTCAAAGCAAAGTTAGGTACAAGAGAGAACAGTGAGCTGAAAGTAGGTAAATTTGGAATAGGGCAACGAAACCTAAGGACCAACAGCTGGCCGACTTTGTGAAGAAAGAAGACTGTTTATGATGAACTCTTTCTTCAGGTGATAAAAACTGAGATGATTTTATGAAGTGAGAGCTAGGATGAAAACTGGCAGCGATCACCGAATGGTGAGAAGTACACTGAATCTAAACGTGAAGTTGGAGAGGTCACGTTTAATCGAAACCTTTCAACTCTAGTTACAAAATCGTTTTCAGTGCCTAGAAGACTGCAATGAAGTGGACGATATGAATGACAAGCTTCTGGAAACTGTCAATGCGATCGGAGCTAAGTTCTATAAGACCCGTCACAGAAGACCACAAAAACTCTCCGATCATACTTTTAATCTCATGGCCGTTATACGCGAGATGAAGCTGAAATCTTCAGTAAATTTGACAGCATACACGCAACCGAATAGACAGATCTTCAAATACATGCGGCGGGATATGCGCAACTTTTGAAGTATCGATAACCAATGGGCAAAAAAGATTTTCGAGTGGCAGGCCCGTACCGGTAGGCAAAGTGTGGGGTGCTCCCTCCACAAATAACTCAAACTACATAAAAACGAACTAGGACCAATATTCAAATTTAAACGCAGTATTTGGGTATTACCCGTAAATAAAGAACCAATAATTAGATTTTTTGTTAAATTGTGAGTGAGACTTGTCACCCTTTTCCTATTTTAAAAAATAGGTGGCGTAACAAGCTGGTTTTAGATGCAGTAAGTCGATGAATGAACATAAGGTGGTGAAATTCCTTTTTTGCCATTTTTTCAGCCCAACAACTGTGATTGCATTACTTCATCATGGCACATAAAGTATCAGTATGATTCCAGTCAGTGAAAAACTCCATATAAGTACTCTTGGGTGACAACGAATCTGTAGTTTTCTTTGTATGAAGTTGGCTGCAGGTGTTCATAGACTTCTGTAGCCACTTACCATAAGGACGGCTGTTATTTCGTTTGACATTTAAGTTTTATAAAAAATGCAGGTGGCTCAGGACTGTGCCTTGTGAAATTCCTTCGAGAGATTTGTATTCAGTAGTACAATAAGACTTGTTAATTGCAAATTATTTATTGTAATGTAACAAACAAATATAACAGCAAAATTGGTTTTTAGATTCAGTAAAAAAATATTGTTCGAGTTAAACTACTCTGACGGCAATAAAACCTAGCTCGATAATTGGTTTATAGTGGTTTGTGCTCGAAATAACTGAATATTTTAAATGAGAATTGATTTATAATCTAAATATCGTGCAATAGAATTACTGTTCATGGAATTTCATACTATATGAGGCATATACGTGTATATACGAGTACGTCTGTTATAAAATAGAGTCTTTATTTATCACCAATTATATTTTACTAATTATTGTGAATCTTTGTTTCAGATTTACATTATCAACCACGACCACCTGCTCCTGAAGGTAAATTTTAGTGTGTAATAAATTAAGATTAAAATTAGGACCTGTACTGTCATTTAAGTTTGTCTGCATATAAAAAATTATTTGAACAAAAATAATAAACATGACGTGTTAAAAATTCCTTTAAATATAGCTGTATTTATCGAACATGGGAAATTTTTTTGACTTGATGTGAAACTTGACAACTTATAATAAATCGATGAACGCCGGCTGCACTGTTATGATCAGAGCGAAACCGCTGCGAGCGAAAGACACGATCGATCGGTTTGAGCGTAAATGTAAATTTATCAATTAAATTTTAGATTTCATTTCACTCCTTCTTTGTATAAATAAAACAAAATAATGATAATTCAATAAAAATGATTCAATTTTACTTATAAAAGTATGCAGTCATTTCATCAATGTTTTGTTATAACGTTGTCACGTTAAACTATCGTCCGTAAACCAATTTTACAGACGACCAATTTTTTATATCCATATAAGCTCCGCCAGGCAAGATATTGCTTAATGAGTGAAAGTAATCTATATTTTGAGGAAATTTTAATACTATTTAATAAAAAATAAAGTGTTATAGACAAGACGACATCTTAATTTCAAAGTTCTTGTTGGCATATCACGTCAAAATTTTCCTTGATCACACAACACAACATTAATATGTTTAGTAACATTAACAAAATTATTGTGATGTGTGATTAAAATTAAAACCATCCATAAACTCTTCTATATTCTGATTGCACCGTTTGTTTATTTTGACAATATTTAAGCTAAAGCGATTTGTACAAATATAGCTACTGATGACCATTAATTGAAAGGATCCTTTTTTAATATTGCTTCTATGATAATTGTCTAAATGTCAACAGTGTTCATTTCTCTAATATAAATAATATGATACTGGTTTAAATAAATAAATTCTCCATTATCTTCAACGTTAACATTTAGCCCTTCAAAAGTTCACTACTTTACATACAATTCCCCAAAAGAAGAGCCTGTGTGCCAAAAAAATGTCGTTTATGAAATTTACATTTTATCGATCAATCTTAAATGTGTAAATCGTAAAAGTGAAAAAGAATAATTATAATATAGGTATTGACTTTTGAACGCAATATTTACTTTAAATTATATGGAGCCCTCGATTCAGTATTTACATTTACCGACAGGTGTCAATATCCACTTAATTATTTAAATAAAATCATCCAAATCTTTTAGTAGTATCAGCCTCTGTTGTCTTACCTTTATAACAATCGTTGTATTATTTTTAATTAGTTATAATACGCAGAGATCACCGGTTGCAATGCAGGCAAAAGAGGTTTTTAGTTCAGAAGTTCCTAATAATTAACCGCTTTGGTTCAAATGAACTCATGTGTTGGTATTTACATTGCAATGTCAATAAACAATCCTCAGGATATGAACCTCATAAGCAGATAGTTTTCACTTGATGAAATCTTCGTGCCAGCGATGTTACATTGTTTATGTATAGGTACTTTGATATAACAACTAGAAATAGGTCTTGGTAGAACTAATGGACATTCAGAAAAAATACATATCAAAAAACCAAGTAGTACCAAAGATATGACTTTTTTTAAAATAATATCAATAATTTTTGTTACCTTATTTTACATTCTTACACACCATGACCACAAATTAATGAATTTCACCGTTTTTTTATTGTTCTAGAAATTAACGTTAACTGAGGTGATAGATAAGCAATAAATATTATGACTGCTATTACACGGCTTTTTCAAAAAACAACTTGAATTATTGTTCAATAAGTGATCAATGTTCTTTTCAACAAAGTTTAGCAACCGTAGCATAAAAAATCATAGCAACATAAGTGACCAATATGTTTAAAAGTGCTTAAAGTCGATTTCAAAATAATATTATTCATCATTATACCTAATGAAAATTGTGAATTATTGCTATTCGTGTTAATTTCGTGGTATTCGTGTAAATTCGTTTAAAAGGAGTGAAATTTAGTTCAACAAAGTTTGCAATATTAGAACAAATTTGAACATAATATGTATGTAATTTTTTCTGCGTTTTATTTACTGATTTTTATTTGTTTTGTGTGATGATATTTGCGACGACTTGGCTTGTAACTGGATTGTTTAGATTGTAGACAATAATGCCACGTATTCAATATACGCCACAAGGATCTACAAACATGCATTTTATTTATGGGAAATGCAGAGGCAGTGGAAACGCAGCCGCAGATCTTTATAGGGAAAAGATACCCTTATGCACGTCATACATATTACTGTTTATTTATAAGAGTCCACGTTTGTTTCTCAAAATGAAGAATGACTGTAGAAAATGTAGCGCTGGAAGAGTCGCTCGTGCTGATGTAGAAGACGTGGTGCTTGACGAAATTGCGCAAGGTCCTTCAACTTCTACGCAAACAATAGCTCGACGCACAGGAATAGGAAAATCGACAGTGCATGATATTTTAAAAACGAAACGAACTTCACCCGTATTACTGCTGTCCTGACATTTTACGCTGATATTCTCTGAGAGCGTGGTCCTAACCCGATTTAGTGGACCCATTCGTGCTACAACTAATATAGAAGCAGCGTAGCTCTGCCTCGTAAAAAAATTAACTTTTCTTGTAATTTATGATGAATATGGTGTTATTAATGTCAAATGTTGTTTTTTATTAAACCCAATTGATCAGGTACATTTAATGTAAATAATATTCCAATATTTGCAATATACAATATACTTTTTTGTTTAACCAAATTTCACTCCTTTTAAACATAATAAGCGATATTTCACTATTTATATTACATACATTAATGAATAATACCATTTTGAAAATGACTTTAAGCACATATTCTTGCAAAAGCGCATAGCGCGTTGGTATGTTCTACTAGCACCTAAAATCAAGAAACCAACGTTTTGTCGCATGAAATCATATAAAACAATCATATAGAACATATAAATATAAAAATTACATTGTTAGAAAGATAAATGATTGTTGAATTTATTATTATTATTATTATTATTATTTAAATCGATTAATTGCTATTTCTACATTGATTTTAGTGGCTTAATATTTTATAGAATTTTGAGCTACGTTAAAATGTAACTACAGTAAAAAAAAACGATTCAAAGTCTGGCGTAAAGTTATCTTTTAACCACACTTTTATATTTTGCGGCTGACATCGTTGGAGTCAATCTCTGACCAAAGCAATTTCACATAGCTTTGGCCGGAGAGTTTTGTAGGGCTCATTCCCTATTATAAAGGCAAACTCAATGTACTATCATACCCTTTTATTGTTCAAGGAGAGAAGAATACTCCAATTGTACCTAACATTACGTCCGAAACGTTTTATCGCTCTAGCTCAAATTTACTTTATGCATTGGTATTATTTATTTTTATTTATTTTTGTTTGTGTATCTCATAATGAACTTATGATGTCTGAGCTCATGTTCACAATGTATTTTAGCCTTGCCAATAAAAAATAATCACAATTCCTGGACCGAGTCTTGGCTTCTTGAGCTATTTATATATATTTATAGCGTCACCCACCGAAAATATTATACGTGATAGAGCCATGCTGCAGTTATCGTTGGGCTGAAAAGTTCGTAACATTTTATAGAAAAACACATTTTTTTGGCAAAATTCGATTTTATTATTCAACATAGTTGCCATCGAGGGCGATACACCGATTATAGCGATCTTCCAACTTTTCAATACCATTTTTGTAGTACGATTTGTGTTTAGCCTCAAAATAGGCCTCTGTTTCGGCGATTACTTCCTCATCGGCTTTAAATTTCTTTTCAGCGAGCATTCTCTTGAGATCTGAGAAAAGGAAAAAGTCGCTGGGGGCCAAATCTGGAGAATATGGTGGATGTGGAAGCAATTCGAAGCCCAATTCATGCAATTTTGCCATCGTTTTCCTCGATTTGTGACACGGCGTATTGTCTTGATGAAACAACACTTTCTTGTTCTTCAAATGGGGCCGTTTTTTTCGCGATTTCGTCCTTCAAACGCTCCAATAACGCTATATAATAGTCGCTGTTGATGGTTTTTCCCTTTTCAAGATAGTCGATGAAAATTATTCCATGTGCATCCCAAAATACGGACGCCATAACCTTACCGGCCGACTGTTGAGTTTTTCCACGCTTTGAATTCGGTTCATCGCGTGCAGTCCATTCAGATGACTGCCGACTGGACTCCGGAGTATAGTGGTGGATCCATGTTTCATTGATTGTCACATATCGCCGCAAAAATTCACTTCTATTGTGGTTGAACAGCTCCAAACATTGCTTTGAAGCATCGGCACGTTCTTGTTTTTGGTCGATTGTGAGCTCGCGCGGCACCCACTTTGCACATAGCTTTCGCATACCCAAATATTCATGAACGACATGTCCAACACGTTCCTTTGATATCTTTAGAGTGGCAGCTATACAAATCAACCTCAATTTACGATCTTCCAAAATCATTTTGTGGATTTTTTTATGTTTTCGTCCGTAACAGCCTCTTTTGGACGTCCACTGCGTTCATCGTCTTCGGTGCTCATATGGCCTGTACGGAATTTGGCAAACCACCTACGAATGGTTGCTTCGCCCGGTGCAGAGTCCGGATAACACTCATCAAGCAACTTTTTGGTATCAGCAGCACTTTTTTTCATCAAAAAATAGTGTTTCATTAAAACACGAAATTCCTTTTCATCCATTTTTTTTCAAAATAACAAAAGTTGCTTCACTCAAAATGCTGTATCTCACAAAGTAATAATCAGACAGCTGTCAAATTTATACACGTTTCTTTTGAAGGTTGGTACTACCTAAAAATGATATGGATTTTATTCTAGTGGTGCCATCTCATAGAGACGATACGAACTTTTCAGCCCAACCAATATAGTTGTAGCACGAATGGGTCGGCTCGACCGGGGAAGGACCGGGCTCTCACAGAATACCAGCGTAAAATAATAGCTGCTGTGCTACGTATAGTGAGAGTAGAGAACTGGAGACCCTTTTTACTGGAAACGAAGCATTCCATCTTA